CTTCTCAATGATGAGGGTGTTAAGTTTGTTGAGGCATCGGTAGATCGCTCTCTTGATCAGGTGATGCCCTTTAGACCTTCGGCATCTTTGCTAAGCCTTCACCCTAGCCTCGAGGGTGTGGTGGAGCTTGTTCAAGTTCAACTTACAACCTTTATATGTGGCTCGTTGGTTGTTGGATTCACCGCAAACCACCTCGTGGCTGATGGACACTCGACTAGCAATTTCTTGGTTGCTTGGGGCCAAGCTTGTCGAGGACTCGAAATTAATCCACTCCCTTTGCATGATCGCACAATATTCTCCCCACGAGACCCTCCTATATTCGAGTTCGAGCATAAAGGATTTGAATATATCAACAAAAAACTAAAGAAAGTTTATCCTCTAATCCATAACGGTGTCGATGACATTGTGGCTCACAAAGTTCATTACTCGACAGCATTTCTTGCCAAGCTTAAGTCCAAGGCTTCTTCATTGAATGGAAACAACAAGCCATTCAGTACTTTTGAGAGCCTTTTGGCACATCTTTGGAGAACCATAACAAGGGCCCGTAGTCTAAGTGAGCATGAAGTCACCCAAGTGAGAATATCTGTCGACGGACGCCACCGGCTAAACCCTAAAGTTCCAAACTACTTTGGAAATTTGGTACTTTGGGCATTTCCAAAAGCCAAAGTGAATGATCTTTTAAACCAGCCTTTACCCTATGCAACAAAGCTCATTCATGATGCAGTCGTAAATGTGAATGACAATTATTTCAAATCGTTCATCGACTTCGCAAATCATAAGGTAAAAGAGGAAGAACTTGTTCCAAATGCAGTGGCTGATACAGAAGAGTCCATATTATGGCCTAATTTGGAGGTTGATAGCTGGCTAAGGTTTCCATTTTATGAGCTAGATTTTGGATGTGGAGGGCCTTATATTTTCATGCCCTCTTTCTTCCCAACAGAGGGCATGATATTTCTTCTTCCATCCTTCATACAAGATGGAAGCATAGATGTCTTCGTTCCTCTCTTCAGGGACAATTTAGAAACCTTCAAACAAATTTGCTATTCTCTAGACTAGATTCATTAATTACTGCATGCATAAATCACACACAAAAAGTTAATTTTGTTTTTCAATCTTTTTTGCTTTCAAATTATTTGGAAGTGGGACAGAAGTTACATATATCATATATGTGTTTTGTAATTTTTTAAATCATAATGGAAATAATTTCGTTACAGCATATTGAATATTCGATTTCTAATATTGTATTTTGTTACCTTTTTATGGACAATTTTGTCTAGGATTTTGTTCCTCGGACGTCGTTTATCTAGGGAAGTCACAAACGTGAATATAAAAATTGAAAAATCATAAATATTAGATATGTTTGGTGGCATTCTAACTGCTCTACTTTGAGAATAATTGATTAATTTATTTAATCATAGCAAAAATCTCTTTTATTGCTCACTTCAACATTTCAGCTTTTATCTTCCAAATTTATCATTCACGTTACCGCATGCATGCATGCATGCATGCAAGCAATATTGATCAAAGAGTATGAATTTCCACCTTTCCTCTTTTCTTCTATTTTATTTTTTATTTTTCAATATTTAGTTCATCGACGAGTCTGTGTCCAGTGCTACAGAGTGTAGCCACGGGTGTGCAAAAAATATTATACTAAAATTCATGTCTGTATAACTAGCTATTCCTTGGAACCCCAGAGAGATCGTGGGTTTCTTTTTATCAAAATTATGAGTTCATCTGTTATAGAAACACGAGATTTACAGACATTGCCTTCCAGATCAATGGATTATGGATGTTTTCCTTTATTTATTTTGAAATATTAATAAAAGAATAACTTAGCTAACAAAGTATTATTCTAAGAACTTGAACTGAACTTTTCAGTTATGAAGACCAAATATTTTAACTTGTTCGAGACGATGTCCATTAAATTGAACTAGTTCAAGTCAGGGAAAGAATTAGACTATCTCAAACTTTATTAATTCTAGTGGAAGGAATTAATCATTATCCCACGAAGAAGATTACTAAGTCCAATCTAGTATGAAATACACAAGTTTTGAAGTTTCTGAACAACTAACACTATATAATTACCAATATAATTATCTTACATTTGTAATTGGATATTATTTTAGTCCATGTTGAAGTACATTTATGGAATTATTGTTGAAGGTAAAATTTAATAAAATATATGAATATTCTCTTTGACAATTTAAATTAAGTGCCTTTGGTATTGATTTTTCTCTTCAAATAATTAAATTTTTGACCATTAGCTGTTATTTTTATCTTCTTCTCCCACGGGTAAGATTCACTTTTCTCTCTAACGGTCAAAAAATCAATTTTCAAAATTATTATCGAACAAGCCCTATATTACATGTATGAGGTGGTTTAGTGTAGGCTGGCAATTGGCCTTGGCCGCCCACTTGCTTGGTGAGCCAGCTCGGCTCAGTTCATCACAAGTCCATGTGTCAAACTGAACTCCGCAAGTAAAACCCGTGAGCTTCGCAAACCAACTATCGTAGGTTCATTGGCTTGCCTACAAATCTGTCCTTTTTCCCTTATATTCTTATTTAATTACATTAAATTAATTTCCTTTTTTGTAGTGCGTTTAAGTTTTTCTGTCGTTTCTCTTTATATTATGTCTAAGAAAAAAATTCAAAAAGCTCGTCGACTATCCGACTCGACTTGGCTTTTCAAGGGAAAGGCCCCTTGCTGAGTTTGGGTGGCTGGCTCAACTCGATTCATTATCCCCTATTCAACATATCATTAAATTAAAGTTCACAAAATTCTTAAATTCAAGCTTCACCTCCACGTACCTGGATTTAAAAAAACTCATTATACATTTGATAAAACAAAAATTGAATCAGATATCATGTTACTGTCTTTTACAATTTTTATTTTTTATTTTTTTTAAATCATAAATTCTTCTCCATGGACGTTGAATATGTAAATCATATTTTGGATATCCCATTGCAACCCAGCTAATTACTTAAGAATATTATTATCAAATGCAATGAATTAACTAATGTAAATTGTGGACTACTTCTAGACCATTAATTAATATTATTATATAATATCAATTAATCTAATTAATTAAAAAATATACTTATTTCCAACCTAACCAATGTCACATTTTCCTTTGAAATAATGGCATATAAATAGTTGACCTTGCCAGAACTCAGCAAAAGCATTTAAAATTTTGGAAAAAGTTCATAAAATCCTACCCAAGATATTCCACCGATTTTTATTTCATTTAAGGCGGTGGCATTTCTAATGCAATAATTTATTCACTTATTGCTTTATATTAATCCATCGCAACAATGCGACATGTGACCCCATATATAAGAATTTTGGGTAGTATGGTTGTGACACAAATTATACTCAATTTTGTGGCCTATCTGGTTCCATCTTATCTATAGATAAAACTGGGAACTAATTTTTTTTTTTAAAAATGGGAACTAATTTTTTTTTTTTTTTTTTTTTGGCATTCTATTATAATAGAAAATACATTTCATGACGATCACTCTCGAGACTAAAATAATGATTTTATACTCCTTTAGAGATTATTTTACTAAAAAGGATAAATTTCGTATCATTCGAAAAATTAGTATTGTTATCTTGTAAAAAATTCTTGTAAATTCAATTAAAAAAATGACATTCTTTCAAAGACAAGGAATTTATTGAGAAAAAAGTTGAAAATAATAGTTGAATTACGTGATGGAACTGTAATTCTCCTCCTTCCATGATATGACATTTATCTTATTAGTAGTTGCTTGGTCTCTATCTATATTGTGGGGTTGTTTAACAATTTTCTAAAACATGGATTTTTATTTTTATTTTGTTGTTGTTGTGCTGAACTGGTTCTGTCCTAATAACGACGGGTAAAATTGAATTTTAACCAATTAAGAAGTTGATAAAATTTTAGAAAAGTTCTATCAAATTATTGTGCCGGAAATATTTACAAACGGTTTAAATTACAAATAAATAGAAATTAGTAGTAGATAAATAAGTGATACTTGTGGATCTCCAAACATATGTTTAAGAATTTTAAAATGAAAAATCGAAAACATTGCGTTAAGAAAAATATGTACCTTTGGAAATATCCTTGAATTCACAAGTACCCGTCGTAGATCGAGATATCATTCGATCCCGTACATGTGTAATCATGACAATGATATTATTGAAACTTGTTTTAATATGAATTATTATTGAGAATTCAACATGGTCACGGACTCACGGGAGTGGTTTTGGAAGAGCTGGCACAATCAAATGAATGTTTTCTTGTCACCAAATTAAATTCGACTTTTTAACGATTTTGAACAAACGAAACAGATCTTGTCCTCCGCGTATTTACGGATTCTGGCCCAATGTTAGACGTGCTTCATTCGTAGGGGCTTACGTCACAACTGTAATATAGTATTTAACTTATTTTCACGTGGAATTTGAGCATGATTTATTCCGCAATTTACGTGTTAAAAAGGATCACGGAATACTATGATGCTTTTAGGTAATATACAAGAATTCAAAAAGCATTATAAGTCCACGATCAAAACCTTCTAAAAGAAAGATTCAGTAGGTTTTGATCCAATATGAAACTAGGCATATTTAGGTGTTGACACACGAAAAGTTCAGCCCAAGTCGAATAGTCCAAGAAATGAAGTACAATTGAAAAATCCCCAAAATCAAATAGTCCAAAGAACGACCCAATTAGGCAATGCAAGATAAAAGCCCAAATAGGGAAGCCCATGAACGCGGTAACACCATCGCCCAAAGTTGCAAGTCGCCCAAGATTTGAGCGAACGAATTGCCATGCAGTCGTCCAGAGCTGTGACCCTGCTCTCGTTCAAACATTCGAGTCGCCCAACATCTTAGCAAACATAAGATGTTATGGTTACCCAAAAGTGCAGTTAATGAAGCAGTTATTGGGTAGTTCTATCACGTTCCACGATTAAAGGAATTCAATTGAAAACGGTTGAACGACAAAAAGTAATGGCAGCAGTTAGAGAATGCAGTTCCATGATAAGTTGGCCACTACGAGGAAAGTGGGCAGTTATAAAGCGATTAAGCATTTTTTAAGCAGTTGATCACGAAGAGATCATCCAGGGAGTATAAAAGGAAGAAAAGATATAGAGCAAAAGGACCCCGAATCAAAAACTTTCAAATGGAGAATATGTAACTTTAAATTTCTTAGCTTAGATTTAAAAACTTCTTTTTCAATAACTCGTGTGCTTGCGCCCCTTGGAGGCATTCTGTTTTTATTTTCCAATTGTAAAGTCATCGCCAATAAAAACACCCCTTTTTGGGATTTTGTCTCAAAAGGTTTGTCCCTTACACAATCGTCTGATTCCTTTTTAATTGTTAGTGACTAAACCGCGCGAAACAATTTGACACGCCCAGTGGGACAGTGGTGTTTGGTATTAAAGATACAAAAGGTGAAACAATATGCCTCAAAGATCCGATAAGAAAGCAGCAAATCAGGGAGGAGTCCAGTCTGTGATCGAACGATGTGAGAAGTAGCATAGCTCTCCATGAACAGATGGACAGAATCAGAGCAGTAACAGTCGTTACGAATCAATGGCAGAGTTGAGTCCTCGAACTATGCGTGCACTGCTTGGAGAACTCACACAACATGTCGTTGAACAGGTAAATCTTCGAAATATTCATAATATGGAAAGATTTATCCAGAATGAGAATGCACATTATGACAATATAGTCAAACAACTGAATACTTTGAATGAAATAATGAATAAGTTAGTAGGCCAAATTTGTCAACCAGTTACGCCTCTTGCAAACCATTTTCAAACTAGGACAATTGTGGGACATAATCCCCCAGTCCTAAATCCAAGTCAAGGGGTAGAACCACATTTTGGTCCCTCTACTTCAAACCAAGGGGATGGTGTAATACCAAATCAGAATAATGATAGTGGTACGCCTAACTTGGGGGGTAATCCAAATGTAAGAGATAATGTCCTAAATAACGGGCAAAATACCCCACGTGTTAATGAGAGAATAAATGTTCAGACTAATAGTAACAATGACCCAAATCATGGTAACTTTATTCCTAATCAAGGACCAAATATCAGGCCTCAAGCAAATCAACCGGTCAACCAACCTGTAAGGATTCCATATGACCCCCAACGTCATGTTGAGAAATCAGATTATGGAAATCGTACAGGACCA